ACCTAAGCCCCTGCCTGCTGATATTGCAGCAGGAGTATTTGATAGGCAGCCCTCTGCTGCAGCAACATGTGATAAAGGATAAACCAAAATTAATGATGAGTTGAAGAAGTGTAAATAGGGCCTTAGACCAAAAAAGCTTTATGCTCATGTCCAACACATGCTGAACCAGTGAGCTACATCCACATCAGACACCAAATACTAAACCTGGAGAGGCCCCATGACTATTCTCACCTTCATGCAGAACCAGACAGAAATCGGGAAGGTCACTATGACGAACAGGAAAGACAAGATGGTCAGAAGCCACTCACAGATGCCCAGACCCGAAGACTTTACACCTAGGAAGAAATCCAACGTGGCTGTGTTAGGAGAGGACTGCTCCCAAAATACTGATGGCCTGACAAGTGCCTGCACAGATCAGCTTCAGTGTTGTCCTTTGCCTAGACCCAGTGTATGTGAACCATTTGGCTCCCTCTGGAGCTGGGTTAAAGAATACTCCCTGCCCTAGGTGGCCAGGAGCTGCTAGGATGGACTGACAGATTTTGTCCCTGCTTTACTGTCAGAAATTGAGCCATGCTTCTTCATAGTGCCTTGACTAGAGGGCAGCCTTTAGCTTGAAGACCTGTAGCTACCAAGCAGTGTTGAAAGGCTTGGAATGGGCAACTTGTTGGCTGAGCTGGGATCCCAGAAGCTTATCTGGAAAGATAAGCTAAGGGCAAAGAGAAAGATTGTAAATAAGAGGTAGCTTCCAACGTGCACAATCTGAAGTGCCCTTCCCTATCAGAGTATCTCAGGTCCTTTTGGAATAGGATTTTAGTCACATCCCAGCTCCCTAATGCAGTGGGACCAAGCCACTGGTGCCGCTGAAATCTCCCTGTGCTCTACAGCAGTCACACCAAGGTGGTGGAGGCTGACTGGGGTGGTCAGTCCCAGATGAGTATTACCTTCTACATCTCCCCAGAGTGAGTGTGGGTCATCTTGATCTGGCTGCCCTTTGTTGTGCTCCTGCCTGAGGGAAAATCTGCAGGTATGGCATGAACATAGATAGATTACTTCTGGGGGTACCTAGACCCAGAGAGTGGGCCATGTTTTCCAGCAGTGAAGTTAGCATCCCTGCATCCCTCCCATTTTGAATCCCTTCTAGCCCTTCCATCCCTGCCCCTTTGCCCCTAAAGCTTTCTGCAGAGCCAGCAGGTCCTGAGGGAGTTCAGATCCCAAGAACCTGTGTGATCACTCTAGCTCCACAGCACCACTCACTAGCTGGGATTCCTGTAATTGAGGCAGAAAGAGGCAGTTGTGAAAAATTAGTTCCCAGAGAGACAGGAACAAGTCTGAACCTTTGTGCCACTCTAGGGCAGCAGAGCTGCTGGCATGGAAGCGGACAAGTGATGCTGGCTCCTGTAATACACATCTGCCATGCCTGTGGTGATGCTGGATCCAAAGAGGCCCAGCCATCTTGCCAAAAGACTCACAATGCTCCCTCCTATCACAGCAGGCTGGGAATCTGCCTAACACATGGCCTGGAGAGGAGCTGCTCTCAAAGGTTATCTGGAAGGGGAGCTACGACTGTGCACCTCAAGTGCAGTTCTTCCCTGCAGTGCCGTTCTTTGGGCTGTGAACTGGCATTGAGGCTAACTCTGTCCACCTAAAAAAGGGCAAGCGAGAAAAGGAAGATAGTAGAGCATGAACAGAACTGGGGAGCAGTGAGCTGAAGCATGAAGGTTGCTGGGGATGTAACTGCTTATTGCAGAGTTCATTGCTTTGCTAGACAGTGCTGATCAGCCTGCAGTACTGACTGCAGAAGCTGGCTGGGAGGCTGGCTGGAGTCTCCCATATCCTGTCCTGAGGGTAACCACGTCTGTGCAAGGTGGGTGTGGTGACACTCACCGTGCAGAGAGCAGAGTCATACTGTGACCATAAAGGGTCAAAGAGCCCATAGCTTTCCAGCCCCTTCCCTTCCATAAGCCATACCTTCCTCTTGCTGCTCGCTGTCCAGCAACGCCATTGCCTCCATTTCTTCATCAGATATCACATCATCCACGTCTACCACCGTGGACGTGTGCACCCTACCATCAGTTCCTGCAGTGCTCTTGATCTCCTTTGCTTTCTCCTGCTTTATGTCTCCCCTTCCTTTGCCGGCTTCTCTGCTGCTCTCCCTCTTCTCTTGTTTGCTCTTTGTAGCTGGGGATTCTCTGCGTCTCCTATGAGACTCCCTGGAAGAGCTCCGAGACCTCTTATCCATCCTCATCTGTGCTGAGGAGCATGCAGCTGCCTCTGGGAGTTGGATGAATTTGTGCTTGAATTTATTGCTGCAGGCAGGAATACCAGGCAGGGGGCGAGAGAAGGGGAGGTGTCAGATCAAGGAGGCTTGTTTCAACTTTATTACAGGCTTGTCAGACATAATAGACAGTGAAGTGAGCAAGCTGTTTCCCAGCTGCTCTGCTCTCATTGCACACTGCTGTGGAGAAGGGAAGGAAGGTTAGACCTGGACAGGGTGGACACCAGGAGGACAGTCTGTTTGCCTTTGGAAATAAAATACAATCGGAAGCACTCAGACGATTTTTAGTAGCTGTTTTCTGCAAAGCTGTTGAAAAGCAACCTAAAAGTAACTGTCAGACATGTGGCTCCAAAGACCTCACATGGTGAGAGTGGTCCAGAGCAATAAACACCAGGGCAAAAACCCGTTATTGGTGAGACTAGTGGCTTATTCAGGAATGTTTGGAGGGGTTGTTGTGGAGAATGGCTGTGTGAGTAGCATCTGACATTGTTCTGCTCTCTAGAAACCCTTCGGCTGGCACAGTGGAGGGATATCGGCAGCAACCTCCCTCTCTCTAGGGTCACCTCACATTTTAGCAGGGAGGGAAATTAGCTGGTCCCAGTTCAGCCATGAACTTTCCTGAATTGCAGGGTTAGAGCTGTCAAATCAAAATTGCCAAAAGAGTTTGTGCCTAAATGCCTCCCTAGTTTTCCACAGCAGGAGTGTGGCACAGCAAACATAGGAGCTTTTTCTTTTCATGCCGCACAGCCTGTGGTGACATCTGCGGAAACCTCTGCAAGAAACATTTTTAAAGTGTTTTAAAGTCACTGACTGTATTAAAGAAACCAGCACCTGGCTAAAAATCATACTACAGCAAGGCAAGGCTGGAACATAAAGCAGTGACTTCCCTGTCAACAGGGCAGTGCTGAGCTCAGGGATGCCCGGTCTCTGGTGTGGAGGAGCAGCTGGAGGGAGCTGGGAAGCCGGCCGGGGAGGTGCTGCTCTTGTTTTTTCACGGATTCCTACTTTATTAGAGACTTATGGCCTGCCCGGAGTCAGGATATTGCAGGCAGGGAGGGCAGGAGCACCAGCTCCCTGCTTTCTCTGCTCCGTCGTGCTGGGTGCCTCGTCAGCAGGTGACCGGGGAAGCAATGGATGGAGACGGCTAATGGCAGAGGAGAAAAATTGGGTGGAAATAGGGCGTAATCAATAAATTCATACAGTGCCTGTATTTGCTTTGGAAGTGCTCCAGAGACCTTTTTTACTTTGTGTTTATCACTTGGCCGGCGTGGGGCAGGGGGAGATGGTCTCCAGCTGCTGAAAGGGGAGGTGACATTTTAAGCAGCAGCAGTAAATGGCGGCTCAGGTCTGGTTTTGGCCGGGCAGCACGGACTCTGGTTGATTTCTTGTCAGAAGCACCATGGGATATTTAACACCTACAAGCCTGAAACTTTCTGGGTTTGTCTGATGTTTAATTCAGCCAGTGGGTCCTGACTCCTCTGTCCCTGGGGGACGTTTTTGGCTGCAACCTTGGGACGGGGGAGATGCTCTGAGAGCATGTGCTGATGGATTTGCAACTTTTGCTGTCCCAAAATCCACAGCTTCACCCCCCCCTTGTCATACTGAAACGTATCGTCGTGCAGAAATCAACTGCACTGTTGAGGTTTCTCAAATGACTGCGAACCCTTAAGAAACAGCCATCGCAACCTAGTTCACCACACTCTTTGGCCTTGGAAAAGTCACTCAGCATCTCTGCTGTGGATTTTCCTCTCAGATGGGACTAAAAAATAAAAGACTACTCTTAATTACGTTGGTGTTTAGGTTTAAAAACTGTCACCTTAAAGGAACTGGTCCTTTTTAGTCTGTGGCTCTTTCGCAATGCTCTAACTTTCCCTGTCAGAAGGCAAACACACCTAACATTTTCAGGGGCAGCAGCTCCGTGCAGGCTCCGGGACTGGGTCCCACAGGACAGGCTGACTGCCCGGGGCGGCAGCGGCAGGCCCCTCAGCGGCCCGGCC